CTGCCCAAAACTCAAACCCTATGTCTGAGAGCACGGCTCAGAGATGAAGTGAACTGTTCAGTAGTTGTCATTGCACACCCGGCTTACTCATGTTGCACAAAGGATATAGTGGCAGGTTGACATCCACAGAGATCAATTTGCAGGGTCCATAGCTGAAGGCGTACAGTGACTGTAAAGGTTAAAGCTGGTTATAGAGGAAAATGAAAAAAAGGAAGGAAAGAGAGAGAGAAGGGAGAACGTTTCCCTGGTAACCAGCTGGGAATGGCAACAACGAGCTCCCATTGGAGCAGGGGTGCTGCAGGTGATGATGAGGAAGATGATAAAGATGGCAATTTATTGCCATGTTTTCCTTTAGCAAGACATGCTTTTGATAGGACCCTCTTAAGCTCCCTACTGATTGTCCTCGGCTATGAGGCTATGACTCTGTTAGCTCTGAGAGAATTCTAATTGCATGCAAGTTGTTGAGCTTCTGTATACATATGTTATTGGATGGCAGCTACTGAGAGTTTAAATAGCTGCTACCTACTCTGTTGAGCATAACATTTTCTCTTTTATATCCCTAAGTCTACAAAACAAGAGGCAAAGAAGGAGAGGGAGGAGGGCAATCCTCACTCCAGTGCTTTCCATGAGACCAGCACAAAACCACTGTGGGGGCTGGCAAGGGTACAGCTGTGGGATCCGCAGTGGGAACAGCACAAGTGCAGTAAAGCAGAACTGTTGCCACAGTGCCCAGAGCAGCACTGTGCTGAACACCAAGGCACGTACAGCACTGGAGAGCCAGCGGGAGCCTGGGCACAGCCTTGCTCTGAGCCGTGAATTTCAGCACCAATCCAGGCTCCCTGCTGAGATGAGTGTTCAGCACGGGCAAGGCAGGGTGCAGCTGGCAAGGAGATTTGCTAAAGCCAGCGGGGAAAAAGAGGATGCCACATCTTTCCTAATTTAGTCCCAGTTTCAGCTCTGGCTGCGTCGGAGGGAAGCCACAGCGCACGGGGCATGCTTGGATAAATACCTCCCTAACACTCTGCCCAGGGATCAGCTTAGGGCTGAGATTTGATTACACATAGTGAGATCTAACCTTACATAACCACTTCTGAGAAGCCCCCTGAGGTTGCTTCATACCCAACAACCGCTGAGAGATGTGAGATGGGCGCAGCTCTCCTCCATGCAGGCATTCAGAAGAGAGACCCCAGTCCTTGGGGAAGGAATGTTCCCACACCTATTACCTTTCTTCCTGTCTCCCTTTCAATCCTTCCACCTTCACTGCCCTCTCCTTAAGTGGGCTACAGTAACCATCCTTAGCCTATCTCAGGATGGCCTCTGGATTTCCTCCATGCTCTATTTGCCTTTGCTCCCTCAGCTCCAGCCAAGCCCTCTCCCTCTCCTTGCCCTGCTGTTCTCCCTGTGGCCAGCAAGGCATACAAGAATAACATGTGAAGATTTTGAGTGCCTTCAGGCTAGAGATGGGGGTTATGGGATTAGCACGTTAACTGGCTTGAAAGCTACTTAAGCAAGCATTACATTTCCAATCTCCTCTCCATCTTTCAAGGAAATCTCTTCTGGAGGAGGTGGAAAGACGGAGCACCCAGTCACGTGTTGTGAAGTCAGCTCCTTGGCCAGCTGACAGCCCAAAGGGTGCGCTGGAGGCACCTGTGTGTGATCTAAGGAGGAGGAAGGGCCTCCACACAGTACAGGGATACTTGGCCCGGGGACACCCGTGGCTCAAACAGATGCTGTCCTTACAGCACTCACTGACATTAGTTTGCTGCACTGTGAGGTCTTCTTGGTGCATTGCTCATAGCCTCGGTGGAAATGGCAAAAAGCTTGAGGGGGAGGCAAAGCTCAGGACAGGGACAGAATTTGGCAGTGTTGTTCATTAGAGAGCAATGCAAGTGAGCAACACTGTGCATGGAGTTCATCACAGATGAAAATGAATAGCTGCGAAGCAAAATATTTAACAAGAGTAGTGGGAAAAGACATTGCACTACAGAGCCTCTTAAAACTACAAAAATGGATTCCTTGCCCATGGAATCATAGAATTATTAAGGCTGGGAAGATCACTATGATCATCTAGTCCAATCATCAGCCCATCACCACCATACCACTAAACTATGTCACTCAGTATGAGATCTACATCTTTTCGTGATCGCTTTCAAGGATGGTGACTCCACCACATCACTGCTCCAATGCCTCACCAGACAGAACTCTGTATTCCCCTCCCTGGTGCTTCCAGCCTAGGAAATTTCAGCTCAAAAAAAAACATTTTACAAATAAAGAGTGGGTGAAAATACAAGATTATAACAGGTGATGTTTTCCTCAGTTAATCACTTCTAAAAGGCATAAAACAGTTCAGTTCCTCAAATTCAGACACCTCTTATGTGGAGCATGGAGATGACATTTAGCAGCAGTGGAACACCATGTGGAAAAAAAAAAAAGTCACCACAGAAGTGCTGGACAGCTGATGGCAGCAATCCAAACACAAAGAGAAGAATAATGCCATGCCTTATCTTTTCTTAAAGTTTTCAAGAAATCTCAAGGTGGGTTGGATCCGATAAGCTTCCACAGAAAGCATTTGACTATTAGCAGTAAAGGCTGTGTAGGTGAAGGATATACGCTTCAAATATTGAATAAGGTTTTCCTGTTCCTGGCCAAGGGGTTGGAACTAGTTATCTTTGAGGTCCCTTGCAATCCAAGCCATTCTGAGATTCTGTAATTCAGTAAGTTTGGACGCTAGTGGTTGGTCACGTGTATTAGTGTGGTCAACCAATTCTATGACTGACTGTGGTCAGAGGAGATCAAATGAATAAGAACTAGTAATAACATTTTATTTAATAACTTCAGATATTATTTTTCAACTAAAGTCACGTTTGAAATATTGCCATTCTTTTGCAATCAAGCAAGGCAGTATCAAGACATTGTCCTTGCTTCCTTCTGTCACAGGCTAAGAAGTGGCTGCAGTTTGACAAAATCTGCCAAGAGATGGTCTTCATTGCATGGCATCAGATTGTCACAGATCAAATACTTGGTGGTAGAGATTTGCTTTCAGTGATATTCTGCTGCAACATAGTTCAAAACCTGCCTTTTTTTCCCAGCAGATCAGTGACGTGGTTCCCCAGCGGGATGCCGGATATGCCAACCTGAAGGATGCTGCCTGGTTTCTAAGCTCCCATCTGCTCACCATGGTGCGTATCCAATGTCTGCAGTTCCTTCTCACCCCACTTACTAACAGGAAGATGAAGCAAAGAGCAATGACATTCATCCATGATTACATGCTGGCTAATTTCTAATCTAGGGATAAAACCTGTTTCTCTTGTGTTCTGGGCATTCGTGCCAACATAAGTTGAGTGTACATATTCAAGTGTACATCCCTGTACCTCTCTGCACATTTGTGGGTGTACTGGTCTCGATGTACACTCACATACATTGAGAAATAGTGCATATACAGCACCGGTCTCTGCACATGGCCACTAAAGCCAAGGAAACCACAAATCAGGGTGTAACCAAATGGTAACCACAACCTTGCACCTTCGCAGCAAAGGTGTTCTTGTCTCCAGTGTAAACTGGTGATTCGACTGAAATTGGACAGTGAGTCTAGACACCACAGGAGGTGAGGCTAAAGGCTGATTTACAAGAGGCATGGGCTGCAAAAGAAGACCATAGTTAGCACTTCCAGCTGTCTAAATGTTGCCCAGGCCAACATTGTTCATGCCAGGCAGTTTGAGCTGCCGTAACTTGGCATGGTCAAGGAAGGCACTTGTTTTATGCTTTCCCAATCTGCACTCCCACGCAGCCCCTTCCCTTTGCTAGCACAGGTGAACCAGGCTGGGAAACTGATCTGGGTTTAAAGCTCACTGACAGATACTTATGTGTCTGCTTACCAGGTTTTGGCAGGTATGTCTTAAACTGAGCACAGCACTGTATGCACAGAATCATAGAATGGTTTGGGTTAGAAGGGTCCTCGAAGCCCACCCAGCTCCACCAACTGCTGTGGGCAGGGCTGCCACCCATCAGCTCAGGTTGCCCAGGGCCCCATCCAAGCTGTCCTTCAATGCCTCCAGTGATGGGGCACCCACAGCTTCTCTGAGCAGCCTGTGACAGTGTTCTGTTCAGTTCTGCTGTATTGTCCCATGAGGAGGATGAGATAGGAGTGAGAAAGAACAGCAAAGCATTAAGCAGTTTCTCTTGGTCGGGAACAAATTAATGGAGGCTTAAAATGACTCTGGGGCTACAACCCTGACTCAGTGAGAATCCACTGTCAGCCAGATATGTGCCCTGTTTGTCCCCTGAAAAGCATGAGGTCAGAATCAAAGTGCCACCCACAGCTTGAGTTAAAGATAAGATAGGTTTGGAAAATCAGTCCCTCTCTTCTGAGATCTGCTTGTCCCTGGTAGACATTTCTCTGATTCAGTTGTCTGCAGCCTCTAAAAATTTGTATGTGATAAATATTTTCTATCAGACGTGAATCTGGGGCAGCGAATGTAAGCCCCTCAACAATAGATTTGCTTAGCTCGGTTTGCTTCTGCAAACACATTAAAAGAAGTGCATCAGTCATTTCAGATCCAGATTTGCTGGTTGCAGACCAATGATCTAATTTGTCCTTAAATTCCGCTCTGAGGATGATGTGCATGGAAGCGTGATGTGAGTGAAGAAGCAAGTGGGCAATCTGCAAGTGGAAGAACAGAAAACCTGCCTGCATTTCGGAGTGGAAGTGGGGTAAAATCCTTCTTGTATTTAAGCATGCCTGGGAAACGGGAGCTTATTGTTCCAGAGGCTGCTGATCTTTGGGACTGCTTGAAAATGGCTGGGAGCGGGGCACACGCGGCCGGATGGGAACGATGTGCCAGTCAGGTGTAGCAGTTACTTGGGAAAAATGAGGCTCACCTGTAACGACCCCCACTTGTATCCCCGCCTATGCGTGAAAACGCTCGACCCGATTTTCCACAGATCACCAGTATAAATCAGTACAACAATATACAGCGGCACCGGCTTTTCAGACCGATCTTAATTACAAGCAGGAAAAGAAACACAATTAAAACCGGGGATCGAACAACAAAGAGCCGAGCGCCCAGGTGCACTAGCAGCAGCCCTCACAAAGAGCCGGGAGCCTCTCGGAGCCCCCTCCCGCACCCCGCCCGGGGGCTCTGCGCTCACACAAAGCCGCGCAAGAAGAGCGCAGCGCCCGGAGGGTCGGGCAGAGAGATGCGCGGAGGAGCGCTGCAGCATGCGGTCTCGGGGCTTCCTCTTCGAGTGGGCTGGTGGAGGGAGGCTTTTTCTTTCTTTCTTTCTTTTTTTTTTTTTTTTTTTTTTTGGTAGTGTGAGTGATATTTATTTATTTAATTTTTTTTTTTTCCACCACCAACTTCCTTCCTGCTCCAACTGCCAAAGCGCAAAGCTGAGAGCTGAGAGCAGTGGAGGACCCCGCGAGCAGGCAGGCACCGCGCAGCAGTGAGTGCGAACCCGGGCGGAGGGGGAAGGTCGAGGGGGGTGAACCTGGGGAGGGGGCAACTTTTTTGTTCGGTATTCGGTTCCATCGCCCAGCCTAGCCAGTATACGGGCAGGGCCCTGTCCGCATCCGATGGGGAAGTTGGGTTCGGCGGTTGGGATGCGGACGGGATGGGGACAGAGGGAGGGTCCCTCCGGTGCCCGAAGGATTTTCGGTAGCCGGACGCTGGGCTGTCCTTCTGCCCCCGCACCTCTGGGGTGGGACGTGGGGCACCGGTGGGGCCGTGTTTCAGTGCCCCGGGGTGGGAAATTGCTTCCTCACCTCCCACAAACCCTCTTCCTGGAGATAAGCCCTAGGATGAGGGAGGGGGGCATTTGAGGGAGTGAATTGGATGTGCTGAGGGAACGTGAATAAAACGCTGACACCGTGACTGCCCTCTTTGTGCCTTGTGGTGGCATGGGGGGATGAGGAGGTGCATCCCCCTGTGTGCATCTCTGCCTCAAAATGCTGCAGATGCAGCCCCAGCACAGGCAGCGATGTGTAGGAGAGCACAGTCCCTCCATGTCTTCCCACAGCTGGCTTTATGGTGGGAAGTTCCTGATATGGCTCTAGCCCTCTCTCTGCTGCTGCGTGAAAGCTCCAAGACCTCAAAGGTGCAGGCGATGCACAACTGAGGGTCGGGGCTGCAGGAAAGTGAGAAAAATACAGCAGAGCAGGGCATAAATAAGTCACGTCTCCTTGTGTAAAGCAGCTACAGGGTTAATGCTTTTCATTTTTAATGCAGATGGTGGCCTGAGGCCCTGGGGGGTTCTGTGGAGCTGTGTGCTTGGCACAGGAAGCCAAGCACCCCAACAGGTGGGCGCTAACATGCTCACCCTGGGGATGCTGCAGTGCCTCAGCCCTGCAGCATCTCTCTGCTGGTGGAGGGCACCGGTCCCACAGGTGGAGCGAGCAGATTCAATGCCCAGAGCTGTACCCATCCCCAGCTCTCCCCACACCCCAGGGTTCTTCCTCAGCCCTGAGGAACTGCTGCCTGTGAGGTAAAGGCAGGGGTGGGGAACAGGTAAGATGTGATCACCTCCCTGCCTTGGGAACATGGCAGGAAAGTCAGGTCTACAAATAGGAGATAAATGCTGGAGTGGGGTCTGATCGCTGCCATCTTGCAAAGATGTACTTGAGCTGGCAGATGTTCAGCCCCAGCCAGGCTGTCCTCCATGGGCTCCTGCCACTGGCACAGCAGGCTACCTGTGTAACTCTTTGCAGGCTTTCAGAGCCTAAATGCATCTGCACCTCAGGTGAGCTCCCCCAAGGGCTGGCAGGGGAAATCTACAACATGAAAGATGCAAGGAGGAGGTCTGAGGAGCAACCAGATGCCTCAATTCTGGCTCTGCCTCTTCTGTGCATGGGGCTGGTAATATCTTGCTCTCCTCCTGTGATAAATCACAACCCCTGTGTAGAATGGGAACAGGTGGGCAGTTGCTTTATAGTTCTAGTGGGGGCAGACAGCTTGGTATCACGAGAAAGCTCTGGCGGGTGGAAGTGACTCAGATCTGCAGCTGGAGCCCAATAGATGGCAAGACCTGGTGCTGGGTGCTGCAGCTCATCACATCCTCTTCCTGTGGCTGCTGTGTGATAGCACTGCAGGGTCATGAGGTGCCATCATTAGATGGCTGTGCTGGGGCTGCACAGCGGTGGGACACGAGCTACAGTGCTGTTATTGGGAAGCTCCTGGTTTCCTTCCTCATGAGGACGAGCTTGCGTGCCTTTCCTATAGTACACAGGTCCTTCATGCTCCCAGAGCCAGGAAGGGGCCTTTGGCTTCTGGGACATGCTTTCCTTCGAGGCCATTAGAACTGGGATTTCCTTTTACTTCCCAGCTGCTCCCCCCTGCAATAGTTCCTGACTCACCATAGCATGTTGTAGCAAAGCAGCCTTGTATCAGAGCTGTAACACAACTGAGTGCACTCACCCTTGTGCTGCTCAGTCCTTCCCTGTCTCTGTAATGTGCCTTTGCCAATATGCCCCTCCTTGAATGTTTTCCACTGGTCTCATCCATGCTGGGATAGCACTGGGAGGTCTGTGAATTACTCATTGCTGCCTGATTCCACTTGCTGATTCATTGTGGACTGTTGCATAAATATATATATATTTATTTGCATTCTCTTTCAGTGAAACTGAAAACAATCCTGGGAGCTTCCTACTGGGAACTTCAAGGCCACAGCTGTAGAGGGGAACAAAATGCTTAGTGGGGGAATTGCAAGTAACCAGGGAAAAAGTGAATTTTTAGCCTCTGAGGAACAGCCTCAGAGGATGAGTTAATATAAGGATAAGCTGAAGTGCACTGAGTGATCTGTGTAGCAGTGCAGCTCACCTCTCCTTCCTCTTGCTTGTCTTTGTCTCCTCTTTCCCTATCATGTCCCTCTGCCTCCCTGCTCTGCCTCCCATTTGGGAGGCTGGCCAAGCTGCCTCACCACCTGCCTGGCACTCAGTGTTGTGTATCCTGGCTGAGCTGGGCTCCAGCCCTCCTGTCTCTCCTTTCTGAGAGATGAAGTACAGGTATGCAGGGCTGGATGCAGCCACCATCATGCTTCCTTCCTCAGCAGGAGGGAGACCTGATGAGTCTGGGGTGAGCAAACATTGGGAATACCAAGAGACAGATCAAAGTGAGTGCATCTCCTTGGGTGCTTTAGACAACATGCTGATGTAAGGGAGCTGCTGCCAGGTATATGATCTTTTTATGATCTCTGACTGTTGGCTTGTAAGAAGAGAGTGAGTGAAACATCTGTCCTCGGCTACATTCCCGTCTCTGTGCCCTGCTGTGTGGCTGTGGCTCTTTGTATGAGCTCTCTGGCAAGCACAGAAGCTGTGCACAGTGGCTTCTAATTGCAGGGTTGTCAGCCAGCGATCGCACTGCAGAGCGACTGTAAATCATTCTGGTATCAGCCTCCGCTCCTGCACCTCCTCCCTGCAAGGGAAGGCTGGTGGAAATCTGTGTGTGTGTGGTGTCTGTGGGTGAGCAGCGAGGGCAGAGGGGGCTGAGCTCAAGCCCAAATTTCAGCACAGCAGTGTCAGGATTGCTGATTGCTGCTGCCATTTGCCTTTGACGGTCCTACTGTGTTGTGCCTGCCCGGCTGCCTGGGAAATTGACACGCAGTGTGCCCTCAAGGGTGCTACTCCCTACAGAGCAATCCCATTGACTGCCCCTTTCTTATACCCAGACCAAGCGACCATGACTGAGAAGACCCAGGAACCTCATGTGGAGGAGGATGATGATGAGCTGGATGGGAAACTGAACTACAAACCTCCTCCTCAGAAAACACTGCAGGAGCTGCAAGAGTTGGACAAAGATGATGAGAGCCTCACTAAGTACAAGAAGTCTCTGCTGGGAGATGGACCTGTGGTGGCAGGTAGGCAGGAGCATCGTGGTAGGAAGGGACTGGGGAGATTCATTGCAAGAGTGTGTCTGAATACAGAGATGGGGCAAGGTGGCCTCAAAGAAAAAGTAACTTGGCTGACTAGACTTCTGCTGGCAGACTGGGGATGAACAGGTGGAGAGATGCAGGGAATCTGGCAAGGAGGATGCCCTGAATATTAGATGTAAAGTATCAGAGAGTGTTAGTGTTTGAAAGGGGCTTGTGGTATGGGGGGTGTGGGCCTTGGAGGGCTGCAGGGGGGTTAGGAATATGAGGGAACCAGCTTGTGCTGAAATGGGACCAAAAGAGAGATGTTGCTGTGGTAGAAAGACCTTGTCTAGGTATTGAGGTAGTGGCTGGAGGGATCCATGTTGAGTGTCTGGCATAGATACACGGTCCTGTTGTACTACAAGAAGTTTGGTCTTAATGGGTGCTTTGTGAAGTGCATCCTCTGTGTGGGAAGTTCAGAAGCATTTCTTCAGTTTCTGTCCCCCTTCCCCCTCAAACATTTAATTTCACAAGCTGACAGCTTCTCCCTCACTTTCCTACCTGCAGACCCAACAGCTCCCAACGTGGTGGTCACCCGACTCACCCTGGTGTGTGACTCTGCTCCAGGGCCAATTACTATGGACCTTACAGGTGAGTACAGACTCACTGGGCACACAGAAGAACACACAAAGGCTCTGGGATGTTTCAAACTGAAAGGGAGTTTGTCCTCGAGATATCAGTGGGCTTTAGAGGAGTCGTGAGGATATCATAGCCTTGCTTTTGATTTTAAGGTGCACTTGTATGAAAAAGAAGATGCAACAGAGGGAAGTGCGGAGGGTCTTTCTCTCATCTAGACTGCTCTGGTAGCTTCTGGTAGAAGGGTTCCTTCTGCTTTCTTTTCTTCCTTTCATTTAGAGCACAGGGGACGTGCATGCATTTGGGTAACAGGCTGTTTTGAAACTTCAGAATCAAGCAATACTGCAGTTCCGGCTCCAGAGGACATGGGGAGAGGAACAAGCTTCACCTTATATGGGCTTTTCTATATAGAGAGGAAGCCAGACTCAGAGGGGCAGAGCAGCTTCCTGTTCAACTGCAACCACACAGTGCCTGGGAGGCCTCGCTAGCTGGGCAGGGGCTGTGATACACAGCTCAGTTCACCCGGTCTGGGACTGGGCATGGCTGAAGCAGGGTATTAACAATGCGTAGTGCCTAATGATGAACCTGCACATAAATATCTCTGTGTACCAAGACCTGTGTGTATTAAGCATTGTCGACACAGAAGCATGTGGATGTGGCACTGAGGAACGTGGTTAGTGGGCATGGTGATTGATGATGGGTTGTTGGTTGGACTAGATGATCTCAGTGGCCTTTTCTAACCTTAATGCTTCTATGATGCTTTGGTGTGAAGACTAATGCATACGCACTGCTCAGGTGTTGGCATTTCTGCCAATGTCTGCTCATGGGGCAATTGCAGTGTACTCGCGTTGCAGGGATGCTCACCTTGACACCAGTCCCAGCCCTGGCCCTCTGCAGGTGTTCTCTCCTTGCTCTGACACCCCTAGTTAATGGCTTGATCCTCTTCTCACAGGTGACCTTGAAGCACTCAAGAAAGAGACCTTTGTATTAAAGGAAGGAGTGGAATACAGAGTTAAGATCCATTTCAAAGTGAGTTGCTTTACGTATTGTTCTACCCATCAAGCGACTTGGTCTTTTCAGAGAATTACTTCTGCCTGTTCATCCCTTGGAAGAAGTTGCCTTCTGTCCATCAAGGACGGTGAACAACAGGTTATTTGGAAATTTTGGCTGAGTTTGGCTGGACTTTACAGCCAAGAGAAAGTCTTTAATTCACACAGAGTGGGAATGGAAAAGAAGGAAAAGAGATGATGGCTTTTCTGCTTGCATTGCTGGGCTTGATGAATGCATAGCAAAGATTTAATACTGTAGCATTTGGCAGAAGATACCTGAATTCTCTTGAGTCATGACATATCCAAATGGGCTAGTTTCAACCCCTACTCTTCTGTTAAGCAGTGTGTCAGCCATTTCTGCTGTTTCCAGCTGAGAACAAAACTCAGTCACACTGCAGTGTGGCATCCAGCACTGAAATGATTATCTCTGCAAATGTTTGCTGCAGACAAAGCTGGGTTTGGCAGAGAAGGTAAAGAGAAGGAAGATAGTATTCCTGAAACAGGAGGGAAAATGTAAATGTGTAGGCTCTGCAGGAAAGATTTCCCTCTGTCTCTGAGGTTTACCTGCTGTCTCAGATGGCTTTGTCCTTAGACACACTTCCAGTTCTCTTTTATGCAATGAAATATTTCCAGCTGTATTTGAGCCCTGCTGACAGGAGATGCCTGGAGTTACTTAACTCCCTCCCTTAGTCTCAAAGCTGGTAGGAGCTGACACTATGTGAATTCTCCTCAAGATGTAAAAGGATCTTCCCATCTTGTTTCACCATGGAACTGTTCTGTAGAGGAGCAGTGTGTGCGGGATAGGGGCAGCAAGAGATATCCATGGGAGATTCAAAGAAAGATTACAAACAAAACTGTGCCCTCCATCTCCTGAGAAGCTCCTCTCATGAGGAGCTTTGCCAGCTCCTCACTGAGTTTAGAGGGCATCTGGGAGAGTTCAGTGAACCTTGCTCACGTATTTGTACTGAAAGCGTGACTCCAGTCACCCATCTCTGGTTTCCCTTCCTTCACTTTTCTCTGTCATTATTAGTCTGTTCTGGGAATCTGCCTCAGACACCTTCAAAGTCAACAAGGAGATGCCCTCAGACACACAGAGAATGCTGCAGGTCTCTGGCTGCCTGTTGGGAAGTGACATTAGGACTCCCCACAGCGTGTCTTTTCTCAAACCCTTGAGAGCAGCTGTGTGAGGAGCCAAAGTGGACGTCTCTCTAAGGAGAGAAAAAACAGCAGATACAGGATCAAGATTCTCCCAGTGACTCTTACTTCTGGTCACTTTGTGCAGGTAAACAGGGACATTGTGTCAGGACTAAAATACGTGCAGCACACCTACCGAACAGGAGTGAAGGGTGAGTAAGAGACCTGCATGCCCTTCACACCCATGCTCTTTCTCTTGCAACCCTCTCTGCTCAAATAAGTGTTCCTGCAGATGTGGACTAGGACAGGGCCTCCCTGTGCTGCTGCACAGGAGATGTGGCTTCTCAGCAGAGTGCATTTGCCTGCACTTTGTGTCACCCAGGCCAACTGTTTCCTGTGCCTGTGTGAACTCATTGCAAGCCAGCTCTGCTGTCTGTATGCTATACCACCAGCTGCAGCAGAAATGTCCCCAGAGATGCTGTTCAGACGGTGTTTGCCACAGGCTTCCTCTTCACCTCCCCCACCAGTCCTTGAAGTGTGGCTCAGTCCTTGTGGAGATTCTCACCCATCAAAGTTTCTTCCAGATGCACTTGGTAAAAATTCACAGCTGCTCTGCAGAGCTTTCCACTGTCTGTGGAGGATTGTGCTTGCCTGTAGCCTCATGTGTTTTTACAGTGCTGCCCTGCCTGGGCTTGGCAGAGGAAAGCCCCATTTTGCACACACATCCCACATGTGTATTTTTGCATACAACCACCACTAAGGCTCCATTGTCTCATTAAGCATGCAGGTAATGTCCTCTGACCAGAAGAGAGAAGTAACAGAGGATAAAGAGAGATCTATATCTGTGTGTTGAGGCTGCATACTTCCCACAACTGTTTGTTGTGAGAGCAGCATAGAGATGTGAGAGGGTACAGACTTAACTCCCTGCCCATCTTAGCCCACTTTCTCACTTCCTTCACTGATGGTACCCCTTGCTGGCCACGTCCCTTTCTCTCACCACTCCGCTGTTTCCTTTCTGTCAGTGATCTGTACTTGTGTTCATAGCTTTTTCTCTCCTTTATTATTCCCCTCCTGAGTGTTTCATTGCATGTGGATTGTTTTCTCCTAGTGGACAAAGCCACATTTATGGTTGGCAGCTATGGGCCACGGCCAGAGGAGTATGAATTCCTGACGCCTATTGAAGAAGCTCCTAAGGGGATGCTGGCTCGAGGCACCTACCACAACAAGTCCTTCTTCACGGATGATGACAAGCACGACCATCTCACCTGGGAGTGGAACCTGTCCATCAAGAAGGAATGGACAGAATGAGCTCACCCCATTTGCCTTCCCCCTTCCCTTCCCTTTGCCTCCTGCACCAGTCTCCAGGTGGGCCATGCCCACCACGCTGCTCCATCCTGCCACCGTGGCCGGCCACAGCCCTTGCAGCTCTCCTCATGGGTGCTGGGCTCTGTGCCAGCCTTGGTTGATGCACAGGCCTGCAGGTGGCCTTTGCTGCTTCTTCTGATACACTGAAAATAACCCGCCCATTCTCACCACCATCCCATCATGACATGCAATGGATTAAATTGGGAAGCATATCCCGCCCTTTCCCCCAGTACTTCCTCTTGTTGCCTCCGTCTCTCCTCCTGTATCAACTCTGGTCCCGGGAAGTGCCTTTTCTAGGAAACAAGATCACCTCGCCAGCTCCTTGAGTCGCCTGGCAGGGCAGACTGGTCCCTGGAAAATCCCTCTCTGAGTTACACTTGCCATGTGCCCTGACTCATTGTAAATGGCTACTTATATCTCCCATGATGGTCTCCTGGTTTGTATCTGGTGCCCCACCCCGTTGAAATCCATTATTGTGCAGGCAAAACCAGTCAGGGGGATGCAGCTAGATGCTGTAACAAGACATCATTGTCTCAAGAATAAAAATGATTTCTTTCTTCTTCTCTGCATGAGCGTCTCTTTCTTTTCTGGAGTATGGCTCCTGATACTTCAGAGTTTGGCATTGAGGCGCATGTGGCATTCGCTTCTCATGTTTAATATTTCCCACGGCAACTGTTGTCATCCACCAGAGGAAATACAGGAGCTGCATGTCCCACTGGCTGAACAAGTACATGGGAGCATCTGTGAGACCCAGCACCCAGGGAAGTGCAGGGGAACCCTCTAAACAGTGGTGTGGTTGAGATGCCCAACACTGTGTGTGAGGGCATACCAGCAACAGTGTTGGTGAGTTTGCCCAAGGCTGATGACTGTGCAGCAGGGAGGCCCGGGACTTTCTCCCAGCCAAACAGTTATCTCAGGAGCTGGAAGCTTTGCCCTGGCCAGCTGCTCCTTTCCCATCACATGGGAGTGATTGCAAGCCCCAGAAGCAGCTGACGTGTCGCTTGCCAAGGAAAGGTGTGGAGCAAGGTGGCATGGTGAAGAGAAGGCAAGCAGGCACCATGGGCACCTCTGTCTTCTCATGTCTCTTTGTTATCCTCCTAGCCGGGAGCTCCCCAGCAGGCTGTGCTGAAGATAACAGCTCTACATCCCACAGTAAGTGAGCCTTCTCAGTTCTTCTCCTCACCCAGGGTGTGCTATACAAGCTGTGCATCGAGCTGGTGGGAGAGATATGGGGGGGCATGTAAGGGGTGAGATGCTCACATGGGTATGTGTGGGAGCATCAGAGCTGCTCTTCTGTACCCTTGGTCCAATTCTAACCTTTTCTCTCCAGGCACGGAAGGAGGTACAGAGAAACTTGTCCTATTGAATGACATCGCAGATGTGGAAGCCTTCATCAGTGGTGCGGAGGTGGCAGTTGTTGGGTTCTTCCAGGTGCGTTGACAGCAACTGTCCTCTGACATGTCAGACATGTTCCATCTCAGGTGGGAGCCCTATCTCTGGTGGGACAGCAGGGTTGACGGGGCCCTTCATATACCTCCATGCAGTGCCTCCTGCCATGGAGAGATGCTGGAGTTGTGATAGACTTGAAGTCATGAAGTGAGGGGTGCGTGGAGTGGGAAATGGAGCAAGGGGGGATGTGAGGCTGTTGGTAGGAGCCTGGAGTGTGAGAAAGAAAAATGCTGCAGGAGAAGGAAAAAGGGGAATGTGGGTGGCAGAGAAACTGAGTGCTGTGGCACAAGATGAGTGGGAACATTGGCTGTTGGCTTTGGTCATTGGTGGCAAAGCAAAGCACTGCCTGCATGGCACGGCTGGGGAAGCTGGGCCCCAGGGAGCAGTGATGGTGGGGATTGTGTCTGAGAGGATTTGGGCTTAAGCTCAGTTTTCTCTTAGGGAGAACAGAGGCACGGTCCCTCTGGCTGCTTTGTTCCCCAGAGTTGATACCCTTGAGGTCTGTACCTCTCCATGACCAAATTAAATTGAAATGAGGCATCAGAGTGACTGATAGGTGCATGTGTCACTTGCCCCTTTTTCCTGCTACTTGAACTCTGGACTGCATACACTGCTCATACCAGAGAAGACTTAATCCTTCCAAAACTAACTTCCCTCTGCAAGCTCCTTCCTCCTCCTGCCTTAGTCCTGGGGCTGGAGAGCAGACTAGGGAGGGGTTATGCGAGTGGGTTAAGGCAATGACATCTTGCAGCACACTGCAGAGTGAGGACTGCTGCTTCTGTAGCAACAATTGTGTGAATGCTGGAAGCGTTTGCCCCAGGCCTTGCTTAACACCAATCACAGAGCACTAGCTGCCTGGGGCTGGGGCCTGCAGGCATACAGAGTTCCTTAGGGGCCTCTCTGGCAGCACTGTAGCCCTACAAGCCACAGAGGCTGTAGGTGTCTCCTTCTCTGGGGCAGCTGGCTGGGGTTGCAGCAGGGCTGGGACCTCCTGTGGGCAGTTTCGTGCCGCCAGAACCCCATGCCACCTCTGCCTCCCTCCCATGGCATAGTTTCATTTATCAGCATGGGTCTAGGCAGCACAAGTTGCTAGGGGAGGGAGGGCTGAGTGTGCCGTCCTGAAGTGTGGGGACAGTCCTGGCTGCCAGGAACACAGGGCAGCAGCCAGCAGCCTGGCATGTGTTCAGTGCGTGAAGCACAGCAGGGCTCTGTTTAAGCGGCAGATAAGGACCTATGAGTGCCATGAGGCCTTGTCTTGGCCCTCTGCCCAAGGGTATATTCATCCACATAATGCCTGCGTTCCCTGCTCACCATAAATCATTTCTCTGCTGCAGCCTTTCAGCTCACTGCAGCGCACAGCTCAGCAAGCTGTGCCTGTAATGAGCTGGGAACTGCATGCCACGATGGAAAAACAGCGTGCTGCCCTGTGTGCTGTGTGAGAACAGGGCCTGTTCAGCCAGATCAAACCCATCTTTCATAGGAATGCTCCAAAACAAAGCAAATTCCCACACTATGCCTTAATGCAATCACCACAGCCATGTCGACGCGCTGGCATTTCCAAAACAAGTCACAAGAACTGTTTTCCTTTCACTGAAGAAGGAATGTTGTTTTCTGTTCTCTCTGGGCTTGCAAACAGCTGAGCTGACAGTTCAAAACGAAAAGAAAAACAAAACAGCTTCCAAGCAGAGACTGTGTCTGGAGAATTTGAATCTAAAAAGTATCAAAAATACATCCCTCAGCAGAGAAGTTAGGAATGGGAATAGGAAGGCATGCGTTAATGCAGCCTCAGGCTGGAGCTAATGCTCTCACTAGATGTGGTAAGCCCGAGGTATTTAACAGTTTTAACAGCCCCCTGGACTCCAGAATCAGGAGACTCTCTTAAAAATGATCTATGTATATAATGCATATAGCATGCACGTCTGTACGTGTACGTATGTAAGGGTTACACCTGGGTTCTGACTTTCTCGCCTCCTTTCTGAGAGCTCCAGGGCTTCACATCACCGCAGGGTGCACAGGGGGCAGCTGCAGCCCCGTGGCTCCCAGCGCCGGGAGGAAGACGAAGAGGAAGGCCGCGCACCCGCAGCTGCGGGAAATGGCGGAGCGAGGCGCCCCGCGGGCGGCTCCCGGGGCGGCCGATAGGTGTCGCCCTTACGCCGTCGGGGCGCCGCTCTGACCGCCCTCTCTCCCTGTGCCCGCAGGAGCCGGAGAGCCCCGAGGTGTCGCAGCTCCGCCTGGCGGCCGCGCGGATGCCGGAGGTGCCCTTCGCGCTCAGCAGCAGCTCCGCGGTGCGGGAGCACTACGGCGTGGCGGCGGCCACCGTCACGCTGTTCCGCAGGGTGCGTGCGCGGCGGGGCGCTCGGAACGAGCTTCTTTACAATGAATGGGGGCTGTGTTCTGAGTGGCTCGCATGGAGTGCAGCGTGACTTGGATGGGGTTCCCGTGGCTTTGGAAAGGCTCCTGAGGCACATGGAAGGCATCTCCCGGCAGTGTTACAGTGAATCAACACAGCAGGAAATCACATCTTGCCAAGCTCACTTCAGGCAGGCTAAGCTGGCTCCGTGCATGCCCAATTTTTCCATCAGAGGCGGAGCAGGGCTCTGCAGCGACAGATGCCGTGCCACCAAATGAAATCCCCAACAGTAGATCCCTCATAAGTCTAACACTGTGGTTGATGTGCTATTCTTTGGGCATGGGCCCATTAATAATTGTAGAATCACAAAATCATTATGGTTGGAAAATACCACTAAGATCACCTAGTCCAACCATCAGCCCATCCCCACTGTGCCCACTGACCATGTCCCTCAATGCCACATCCACATGGCTCTTGAATACCTCCAGGGACGGTGATTCCACCACCTCCCTGGGCAGCCTGTGCCACTGCAGCACCACTCTATTAAGGGCAGTGTGCCCTTGTGGTAAAGATGACCAGTGGCTGGTAGTGATAGGACATGGAGTAATGGCCTAAAATTTGACAATAGTAAGTTCCAAAGACATGTGGAAGAACTTCTGTATAGTAAGGGTGACAGACCATTGGAATAGGTTGTCCAAAGAGATTGTGGAGTTTTCATCTATGGAGATATTAAAGATCCGTCTGGATGCCTACTTGTGTGATTTACTGTAGAGGACATCCTTTAGCAGGGGGGTTGGACTCAGTGATTTCTTGAGGTCCCTTCCAACTCCTGCAGTTCTGTGATTCTGTGATTCTAAGACATTTTTTCGAGCCTGAGCCTCCTCTGGAACAACTTGAGGTCATCACCTCTCATCCTATTGCTGTTACCCAGGAGAAAAGAGTGACTCCCATCTTGCTACACCCTCTTTTCAGATCACGTAGAGAGTAATAAGGTCTCGCCTGAACCTTGGGTACAGGGGTACAAAACTAAACACAGCACTCAAGGTACTACTTTGCAGTTTCTGAGGGATGGATGCTGTGCAAGCTCAATTAATTTTGACTCCAGCCATAGTTGTCTTGTTCTGAAATTGAAGGTATTCCTACTGAAATATAAGAAGATGATATTTTGAAGGGGTTTTTGAAGGGCCATGTACTTACTGCAAGAATACCACCAAAAGCCAAGAGCAGGCATATCAGTTTCCTAGGATTGCACTTGAAAACAGGGGAGAGAGGTGCCTCAGAGGAGAGGGGCCTTAGGAAGTGCAAGATATCCTAAAAAGCTACAAAGTGCAGTGTTACAAGAGCTCTAAGCACACTGGCTGGTTGTTCTGTGTGCTGCAGAAGCTGCATGTGGTGCTTTAGTCAAGTTCTAGATCTGAGTTTCACAAAGGTTACATAAAGCCCATTTGTTCCTGTTCTTTTTCATCTTTTGCCTGCACCATGTTTACCACCAGTATAATCCAAATAGTGCAAGGAGAATAATCTAAGAGTGAGCAGTAAGTAGACAAGTCCTTTTCTTTAACTTTCTATTTGCCATGCACAGATAGTAGAATCATAGAATCACCAAGGTTGGAAAAGACCTCCAAGATCCTCCAGTCCAACCACCCACCTACCACTGATATGTCCCCACGAAATCATGCCCCATAGTACAACATCTAAACGTTTCTTAAACACCTCCAGGAGTGGTGACTCCACCACTCTCCTGGGCAGCCCATTCCAGTGCATGACCAGTCTTCCAGGAAGAATGTTTCTTAATATCCAACTTGAATCTCCCCTGGTGCAATGCTGCAATTGCGATTTGAAGTAACACTCACCTCAGTTTTGGTTCTTAGCCATGATGATTTTCTTCCAGAAACACTGAAAAGATCCTTTGTTTTTACTCTGTGGCAGATAGTGAGGATTGAATACTGCACTGGGATGGTGTTCGATAAAAGAAAGTTTGGATTGTTGGAATTTGTGTTCTGTGGTTCACGGTTCAATTTTTACAGCTGAATTCTTATTTAATAAGGAAAAAAAATCAAGAAACAAAGACACTAGCTAGGTTCAAATGAGGTTGGCAATTCTTTTGTCTAATTTTCTTAAATTTAAGTTATTTTTCTGAAATTTAAGTTATTCAGACACATTACTTTTCCTTTTATTCTGAACACTGTGTAGGAGTAAGGAGTCAGAGCTAAGAAATAAAAGTAAAAAGAACTGAGATGGGAACTTAGAATCAAACATTCATTTGAAGAATACAAAGATGGGTGACCAGAATGACAGTGAATCAGAGGCATAAACTCATCCTTCCTTGTTTTTGCATAGCGTGAAACACACATAATGCTTAGAAATTTATAATTATGGTAGTAGGATGGTCTGCTGTCAACTGCTGAAATGTTTTTGTGTATAGTGGAGCAAAGCTAATTTATTCTATTGAAGAATCTAGCCTGACAGATCTAGAAGGACATAACTAACAGATGTAAATAAGCTAATTACAAAGAGTAATGAAGACATTTTGGGCAGAGCTTCAACTATTAGATGCAGACTATTTTCAACCTTTTTTTTTTCTTGGGATCCTGAATGCTGACAGCACATCAAGGGTATTTTTACCCCTAGATGGAAACCAGGTGTTTGCAGAAGTTCACTAAAGTTAAGAGAAAGTTTTCTGTGCTTAGATTGGGTCCCAAAGTCTCTCTGATCTCACCTGCTCAGGTGTTGCACCAACCTGATCCCATTCACTAGAGTAGAGTCACCCTTTCACTTTATGCTGGGGCAAATCTGTGAGAGAAGTCATGCTGCACTGTCTGAAAAACACCCTTTTGGGTTACCAGACCCAATGGCCCCCTACCAGATCAAAGACGTTGCTAATGACCACAGAAAAGCAAAAAATTTTGTTAGATGTCTGCACTCTGCTGGAAAAACTAACACAAGTGTTTTCAGAGGTTGTACAGATGCAGAGGATAAAATCCGGGGTGTGCATGTGGACATTTCCTCAGCTCTAAGAACCTCATTCAACACAAGTATGAAAAGTCTTCAAATCCCAAACTTTGATCCCACTGGTTGTCGCAGCCTAGCACGCCCGTGGCTCAACTCATTCATCTTTTGCAATGGTACCATAGAGCAACTATGCCCTGCTGGCTGGTTTGGCCTTTATTTGATGTTTGACTGCTCTTTTTTTTTTCCTGTTTACCAAGTCAAGCAAACCTCAATAAAATTACACTGGGGGTGAGAGGGGGTGAGTGTGGGAAGATGTGTGGCAGGATGGATTTTCCTCTAAAGCTAAAATGTGCTGTGCTTGATTTTTTATTTTTTATTTTTTTTCTGCTGTTCTGGAAAAAAATCCTCTTTTTATTGGAGAGATTTCCTGCTTGCACAATGTTTCCAGGAAATCCATACAGTCCATGCCAATGTTTATTACTTGTAGAAGAAATAGAATAAGCAGATGAAGATTTTAAAGAGGAATATAAAGCCAAAATCAATGTAAGGAATTAGGCTATGTTAATGATCGCTTCTCACAACTCCTAGATTAGTTTATTGGCTAATCTTCCCTGTCTCCAGTGCAGTAGGAGCAGATAACGATAGGACATCTTGTCCTCAGCATATCACCGAGAACGTCTTGTTCTCAGTGACATGCCATGAGTTTGCTTTGTCCTTGGGAGACTGAGGGAGGGTGGAAGATCCTTATGCCGAAGCGCATGCAGATCTCTGTAGGTCTAATGGCTCAAGAAATGGCGTTTTTATTCTGGAAAGAAGACAAAGATGGTGTCCTGGGGGGTGGGTGTCTCCGTGAGTGAGTGCCATCAGCAGCTCTGAAGGAAATAAGGGAGGGACAGCTGTGACCTGTGGTATCTTTGCATGTCTTCAGGCAGACAAAGAAAGGATAGATATGGATATGGACAAAGAAGAAATCGATGCCGATAAGATGACTCGTTTCATTCGAATGAATGAGCTCCGCCTGGTGACAGAGTACAACCCTACGGTAATTAGCAACTCCTCACTGCCCTCACCCCAGCACCTGGCCTCCTCCGTAGCTGCCTCCTCTGGCTCAAGTGTTTATGCATGAGGATGTGTGCAGGGGTTGCCACAGTGGTGTAGATGGAGTTGGGGGAAGCCGGTGCATACCTTTGCTGCTGCTGAATGACGTGGGAGCAGATCTTGCATTGGATTAGACAGGTGGGGTGGAGAGAGGATAGAAGGCACTTCCTCTGGTCTCCCAGTAGATTTGAGGCATTGGTGGGCAAAGAACTGCATTTCTTACCACTCCTGCTGCTTCTTCCCCGGGGCATTTGTCATGCAGTACCATGCCTACAGATTTTGCTCAGCCAGGATCCTCTCTCTGTGTCTGAGAAACCTCAAGAAACATGGAAATCCAGTGACCTGCTCTTTGGAGCAGGTTTTTCTTCATCACCCAGAAAAATGGGCTTAACATATGTCTGGCTATTTTAAAGCATATTCAAAAACTGGTAGGAAACTTCCCAAACAAAAATTTTCCCATCCCCTCCATCCTTTACCCCATTGTTTGTCAACTCTACAAAAAAAAAAAAAATCAGACATAGGATCATAGAATCATAGAGTCATAGAATATCTTGATCTGGAAGAGACCCATAAGGATGTGCAAGTCCAACTCTTGGCTCCAACACAGGGCAACCTGAAAATCAGACCATATGCCTGAGAGCACTGTCCAGATGCCTCTTGAACTCCGGCACTTGGGGCAGTGCCCACAGCCCTGTTCAGCCTGTTCCCCACCCACCGCCCTCTGGTGCAGACCCTGTCCCTCACCCCCAGCTGCCCTCCCCTGACGCAGCTCCATGCCGTTCCCTGGGCCCTGTCGCTGTCACACAGAGCAGAGCTCAGCGCTGCCCCTCTGCTCCCTGTGAGGAGCGGCAGCCATCAGGCCTCCCCTCAGCTCCTCTGCTCTGGGTGAGCAAACCAGAGGACTTCAGCTGCTCCTCATATGCCTTGTCCTCCAGACCCTTCATCATCTTTGTAGTCCTCCTTTGGACAATCTCTGATAGTTTCATGTTCTTTTTTACTTAATGCTTCCATGCTGGTCATCTTCTTTAGCTTACCCACCTGTCTGGAACTTGGCACATCTCCTTCTGCCTACAGAGGGTGACCACAGACTCCCCTGAAATGCTGGCAGTTCACTGGGATGCTTGCTATGGAGCAAGTAGTTTTTATAACACCAGCTGACTGCAAGGCTGAGACTGTCATTGCTAACAGTGTCTTCTGAATAGCTCTAGCAGTGCTGATCGTGCTCAGTATAATCAAAGGAGGATGGCCTGACCAGTTTCAAAGCTGTATCTTTTCAAATAGGTGCCAAACATCAACTAAGAGGGCTGGCACATTCCCCAATTCAGGTTCAGCATGCTATTTTGGGAGAGCATTTTGTTTTGGAAATGCAGCATTTTGTTTCTGAAGTGAAATACTGTAGAATCTTTTTTTCTGCTTTTTTTTTTTTTTTTTAAATAATAATTAAAACACAGATTTTTTTTTTTCCTTCTGAGAAAGGATATGAAAAACATTTCAAAATCACAGAACATTTCCTAGAACAGAAAAGCTATATCTTGCCCCACTGTCCTGACAACTCTTTGAGAGCAGCCCAGAAGTGACAGTGGGGATGTTCTTATTATCTTTATAAAAATCCTGGCCTTCTGAATCCTTGTGGCCTTCACTGCATCCCTTGGCAGTTCATCAGACTGTAGCTCTCTCTCTGTGAGTTTCTGCTCCACAGTGTCCCATTCAGCACCCAGACTGCCTTTCTGACCTGGAGATCCTTAGCTTTTCAGTCGTTCCTTCCATCCTGGCTTGCAGTACATGTGGTGTTTTATTGCTTTTTTTTTCTCTTGACACTCTGGAGCCCTACCAAGGTGCCGCAATTAACAGTGCCTCCTGCAGTCCAAGGCTTGAAACTCTTCCAGCTCTGCTAACATAACTTGTTGGTTTGTTTTTTGTTTTTTGCTTTTTTTTTTGCAAATATTTATTCCCAGTGCATATGCTGTTTGTATCTAAGAAAGCTGCAGGTCAGCAAAGGCTTGGATAACAGAGATCAAATCAAGCGCTGCCAAGAGTTTCTCTCCCTGTCCCGGGGCCCTAACTGTTTCTCCCACATACTTTTTTTATGTAACACTTAGCCTGTGTACTTCCCAGGAGAGTGTGATGCAATCCAGCCGTGATGCTAAGCTATGCAAATCTCTTGCGAAAGTCTGTGTGGACAGATATATCTTTGTGTGCCACTGTCGGGGGAACTGCAGCTCCAGCCATGCCCCCACAGCTCCATGGCTCTGGTGCTGCCTGGCTTCACTCTCATCTCCAGCTCTGTCCTTTTCCATGAGGTCTTCTGACACTCTGCATTCCTTCTGCTCTGCCCTGCCCCACCTGCATGCTACAGAGAAGTTAAGGGATACGGAAAGTCTGATAAGCATTATGCAAAGGAGAAAATCCCAGCCACCAGAAACAAGATGCTTTGTGGTGCAGACATGCACTCTCTGACCCTGTCTCTGTTACTTCTGGAGTGTGTGGAAACTTTCTCCTCCTCTGGGGAAGTGCTGGCATGGATTTCTATGGCCTGTGTGGTTTTGGCTGCGTGTGGGGATGCAGCAGGTCAGCTGGAGCACAGCCCCACTCCTGTTTGGTTTGAGGGAGAGGCGATTTGCCTGGGGAGCAGGTGGGAGGAGAGGTGGGATGAGGAGCAGTGAATACCTGGAGGTTGCACATGGGCCTTCTGGACACTGCCAGTCCCTGCTCCTCAAAAATGGCAATTGTATGCGGCCTGCTCAGCCCCTGCTCAGCCCCTGCCCAGGCACAGCCTGCTGCAGTCCTCTCCCCACTGCAGAGGTAGTCTTAACCCAAAGCATTTTGGACTGCCCAGCCCCTTGGGTTGCTGAAATGGAGCTTTGGGCTCAGCCTCATCCAAAACACAGTGCAGTGCTGAGGAAAGGAAACAAGATGACACACCAAACTCAGCATCATAAACCCTTCCCACTTGCTTGTTCTCAATTCAGCCAGGTGCTGGATCTCAGCAATTCAAGGCATCATTACCATGGAATCACACAATTAGAATCCATAAGTCTGGAAAAGACATCTTTGATCATCTAGCCCAATCATTCACCTTCCACCAACATTGTCCACTATGTTCCTCAGTTCCACAGCTACATGTTTCTTGAAAACTTCCAGGGACATTGATTCCACCACCCCCTGGACAGCTTGTTCCAGTGCCTGACCACTCTTCTGGAGAATTTTTTCCTAATATCCAAGCTGAACCCCCGCTTGTGCAACTTGAAGCCACGAGGCCGACCCCAGCTTCGTTACCATCTCCTTTCTGGTCATTGCAGAGTGTGATAAAGTCTCCTCTGAAACTCCTCTTATTATATTGTTTTCAAACCTTCCCTCTCCAATTCCTTGCCATTCCAGACATCAGCTTGTTCTGAGCAGACAGTCTCCTTGCCTGGTCACTGGCCATCCCAAGGGCAGTGAGGAGCCCTTGTGAGCTGCAGACTCTTGGCTCAGAAATAAGTGAAACCAAGAGGTTAAGTGCTTCCACAAAGAATCCAGATTAGATGCCTCCTGCTGTAAAAGAGCTTGTCCTGCTTATTGGACTGATTCTCAAAGAAGTCTCAGCTTAGGCGTAGGAGTTGATGCCCTTCTTGCAGTGCATCCGATGTGCATTGAATGTCTCTTTGTATGTTTCTCTCTCTGTTTGTGGTGGTCATGTTTTTGGCAGACAGCAGTAGGTGTGCTGCACAGTTCTCTCCAGCTCCACCTCCTCCTGTTCACAGACAAGAAGTCCCCAGAGCACCCTGAGCAAATGCGCAGATATCGTGCAGCAGCGGAGCTCTTTGAGGGTAAGGTAAGTCCAAAGAGGAGAGTTGTGGGAGAGCAAAAAAGAAAGACAGTGATTATTTCCACGGAAATAGAAGGCATCATGTCCTGTTCTGTGCTACTATTAGGGGAGCAATGACCAAATGGGAAGAAAAGATGATTATCTGGATAATTAAATGGACAAGTTGTATCTGTACACCTTTTGCCAATTTACCTCCAAGGGGGAATAACCTTTGTATCCCGCTTCCCCACTCTCTCAGTGGGACATTGTGTACTTCCTTGCTTCTAGGCCAATTTTATTCTCTTCCACTGGGAGATGACAAACAGCTGTTGCACTTCCGCCCAGCAATGGTCACATTCCACTGTTATGAGAGGTGATCTTGTACATACAGCTTGCGAGATGCCAAAGAACATTATATAAGTGACCAGATAGAAATTAGTGTTGCAGTTCTTAACACTTAGCCTTCTGGTTGGTTCCTGAGGAAATAGCTATTTTAAAGGAATTGAGGATGGGTTTTTCTGATTTCCCACAGCAAGATGGTGGGGTAGATGGGATCTTTCAGAGAAATTTCCTCCAATTCCCATTCCTGTGTGGACAGAGCTCTCCAAGCAGTAAATCTTCACATGGCCAATTCTATGCCCGCAGCTGGATTACAGGGGATTTTGGTCCAGAGAACACAGAAAGGAACTGGCAAGCAAAAAGGGATTGGAAGCAAGAGGCAGGCATTTAGGACAGGAGATCAAAGCATCAGAGAAGGCTGAGATGAGTGGCAGTGGAAGGGATCTTCCTGGGAGAAACGTGGAGTTGGAAAGAGTTGGGGTTTGAGAACAAGAACATCTGCATGATCTGTTTGCTGTACTGAAGGAGAAGATTAAAATTCAAGTATATTCTCATCTTCAGTTGGAAAGGCCTCCTCAGGACCACACACCCTCAAATGTCTCGAGATTTGTTTATGGCAGGACTTCCATGGATCTTGCCATTTCTACCGTCCATTGGCAAGAGAGCGGGCAGAAACCATGTGTGAAAGTCAGGTCTCTTAAAGGTCTCTTAAAAAGTGTTTTGTTTTGATTGATACTTGCTGATAAAAGAAAACAATCTGAAAAAGTCCAGTTGTCATGTGAGATATTTGTTACAGTGGCTCCATTATCTCTGTTCATCAGCAGCGATACTGTTAAGCATCACTGTCCTTTGCTGATGCAGCTGCAGCCCGTTTTCCACTCATATGGCATGCTTTGATCTGAGTGAAGGGGAATGATTTTCCTAGAACTACTTCACAAAGCACTGGATAAAAAAGTCATACTGCAGTCCAGATAATTAATGAATTACCAGCTATCCAAATCTAACTTTTTTTTTTTTAATTCATGCAGGCAAATTTCTCCCTGAATCAGCCTAGGGGAAGTTTGCAAAAAATAAAATACAGAGCTAAAAGGTGTAGGGGCTTGGCTAATTATTTGCACTTTACTGTGGTGGTACTGCCATCCACCTAGATGGAAGGATTGGGAATCTGGTAGGTTGTATTTCCCATGGGATGAGCGTTCTGAGAAGCAAATTATGATTCAGGCTGCCTTCTTACAAAGCAGTAAAAAAAGACTAGGACTAGGACTTATTTGTGCTGCAGTTTGAGTTTGCAATCATTAATTTGAGTTTACAATCATTGCTGTGCAGTAAGGAGGTTTTCAGGCTCCCTCTGAGCATGTACCACTGCATAGAGCTTGTAGAGTGCTGTAAGAATGGGGACATGGTGTGTGTCCCACCTGCTCTTCAGTGACAGCACAGAACACTGATGTTGTCTTGAGAAGGTTCTCAAGCAGGATTTGAGGTGCCAATTCTTTCACTCATCTCTGCTGAGGTCTGAGGGAAAAGGAGTCCTTGTCCTTGTCTTTACCACTTGGAGAAAGAATACAACCTGTTGTGTGGACTTACGGAGAGAAGAAGAGAAAATGCTGTTGACCCAAAAAGTGAAGAAAATAGATAATGAGGAGGTGATTCACCTGGCACTTCCTGAGTTATGATCCCTTCCTCTTTGTTTTATGAAATTTTCATCTCTACCTGAGACAAATCTCAGGTTTTCATCTAAAGATTCTTCTAGATTTGATAGTGCAGTCTGAGGGCTATAAAATGCTGGAGAGGAAAACACAAATGCTAGATGATGCTAAGTAACCAAGAGCTGACAATAATAATAAGATATGTGGTACTTTCTAGCAAATCTTGAGAAACAATTGCGGGTGAGTAACAATGAACAGACAGAACTCAGTGCTACAGCTGCAGGAACCCACCAGTGTCCTTAGAAGGGTCCCACAGCAATCAAATATGTACTCATTTGGAAAAGTACTGCCAAAAATCCAAGCTTTCTACTGGAAAGGAAAAGTCATAATTAGTGTTAGTGAGCCAAACTAACATAAGCATCTTCAGTTTTCTTTCTGTAATATCAGAGCACAACATGACAGTGACAGTTGGTGTAGCTCATGAGTGTTTGTAGATGTTTCATTAAGGTGATTCTGGGAATAATGAAAGCAGTTTCTGCTACGACTGATATAACATGGTTTATAATGTTAAAATGATATGTGTAGTGACGTTCACAAAGCCCCTTTTAGTTTATATGTAGGGCCAGTTAGAAATTAGTTCTGAGAAACTGCTGAAAGACCTTCAAGAGTTCTTCTATGAAAAGGAAAGGACAGTGTCCTTTTTCTTGAAGACAGTAATTTATACAGTTTTTATTTTGATTGGCAGATACGGATGTCTCCAAAGCTGAGAGAGATTATCGTTAGAGTTAGTCATAAACAGGAAAACATGCAAATATGGAATGTCTGTCACTAGACGGATATCTGAAGTTGTTTATATAGATTTCTTTTTTTTTTTAGTTTGTGACTAATATTTTCATTTTTTTTTTGCTTTGATTTACTAAGTAAACTATGAAAGAAATGACTCAGACTTCAGAAGTTGATATTTTTGCTTAGACAGCCTCCTCAAAGAATGAAGATAACAGCTCCATAAAGCTCAAGGTCAAACACAGGATACAAGGCTTGATCATCCTTGCTGTTGGTCTTCTTTGGAGAAGAAACTAAGAAACATGAAATTGGTTTCCACCATTGCAGTACTATGTTCAATTTCACTGAACTCCTTGAACAATACCATCATTCTATATCTTAGCATTTACCAGGAACTTCATGTTCTAAAAGCACCAGGCTAGGAATCAAGTTGTCAAGACACTAAGACAACACCATGTAAAAAAATCTTTGAAAGAACTCAGTGTGGATAACATTGAACAGATAATATTGCAAAGTGTACTGTTTTCTCAGAACATCATGTCTAGGTAGTTTGTTTTGGGAGTTCTCATGCATGCAATAGCTGCAATAGCTCTTTCACTGCCTCTAGTAGCAGGTCTTTAAACACACATACATACACAAGGGGATTGATACAAGTTGAAACAAATTCATAGAAAATTGTTTTTGACGGGGGAAAAAAAAACGGCTATTGCAGAGAATAGTTTAAAATAGAAAACAAACTTTCTGTTTTGGATGAAACTACCTAGTTTCTACTAGTGATATGAGAGTTGGCATTGTAAATGGAATTTATTTTCGTGAGTTATAGTTTTGGTAAGTAGTCTGAGCAAAGGCTTTAGGCTCATTTCAGCACTGGCAGTGGAGAACAATCCTTAATTCCCTTCTAAAATACATGTAATACAAGTGCCTGTCAACATTTGTTGAAGAGTTCATCCTAGATAACTGCCAGAGACCAGACCAAGATTTAGATGTCAGAAGTTAGGCAAAGTGAATTGTTTCATGGTCAGTAGGATTTTCCATGGTTACCACATTTATTCTTTATGATTACAGCTGGCTGGGAATCTCTAAGTAAAACAAATTCCTCATGAGAAAATGCCAGTTCCACCAGGTGGGATCTATCATAGACACATCCGTGCTCAAAAATCTGCTTGGTTTCTTGCTGCTTCAGAGACCAGGCTTCCAGTGCTCGTGGCCTCAGCATAAGTTCACCCTACAGACTGCCCCACAGCTGTCACTTGGAGACCAGTGCACCCAGTGCTGTATTTTGGCAGCCTGCAGCTGCGTGAGCTCCATGTGTGTCACTGGAGATATCCAATACAAGAACTGTGGATGATGTTAACAGCTGTTCTAGTTGAGTTTTCTGTTTTAAGTTTTTTTTTTTTTTTTTATGCAAGGAAGAAAACAAGAATTCTAATCCTCAAATTTTTTACTCTTTAATTTTTTACTATGTTCTTCATGCTCATGGTTTCTTAGTTTGAGGATTTTTAACAAAGGCTAAAGGGAAGAATGTTGACTTACATTTATATCAGTGTTTAAAATGCTGCTCATCTGTTTTAAACCTGGAGGAACTTTTGCATAACAAAGAAATAAAAAATTAACAAACTTAGTATTCCAAAGTCTTTATCATATTAAATTCTTGTTTAACATTTGAGTTAAGAAAATGCTGTTGTCTAGTGAATATTCCATAGAGAAAACCAAAACTTGGTGAACAAATTGGTGAAGAATATGATACCACCTCCTGTACCATCTCTCTGAAAGTGCTTCCATCCAACACTAGCCTATTCCAGTTTGTACGTTAGAAGGAGAGCCCTAAAACACAAGGCTTGCTCCAGTTCCTTCCACTCCAGCTCAGAACTTAGGGTTCAGCTCTTAGATAGATCCTTAGATCTATGACCCTTGGATTTATGATGACCAAACCAGAGAGCTCTGGTTTGATGTTTTATCCTGCAAAGGGATGAACTTAGCATTCTGAACTTAGCATTCTGAGCCACAACCTGTCTGCTCATTAGTTGTTGCCTCTGGGACACAGTTAACTCTTGGAAGAGACATTGCAAGTCCATCTGTTATATCCAGTGAAACTGTTGCTGTTTATCACAGTGATTGACTGCAGTTAGGCTTACATCAGCCTACTTATTCTTCCTATAGGCCATTGCCTAGAGAAGTTTCCATATATGTATATATTTTTGTTTGTTTGTTTTGTTTTTAAGAACATAATTTTAATTAAAAATACGAGATTATTGAATCATAGAATGGTTTGGGTTGGAAGGGACCTCAAAGATTATCAGCTCCAACCCCTGCCTTGGACAGGGCTGCCACCCACCAGCTCAGGATGCTCAGAACCCCATCCAACCTGCCCTTGAATGACTCCAGGGATGGGGCACCCACAGCTCTCTGGGCAGCCTGTGACAGCGCCTCATCGCCCTCTCAGTGAAAAACTTCCCCCAATATCTATTCTAAATCTCTCCTACTTTATTTTAAAATAGTTTCCCCATATTCTTTCACCTGTGTAAAAAGTTGTAAAAGTAAAAAGTAAAAATTTACCAAGATCGTTTTTAAAGAATCAAACAGTTTTGAACTAGCTTGAGTGTTCTTGATTGAAAAGAAGGAAAAAGATGAGTCACAGCCTGGGAACTGAGCACATCATCTTCACGTCACATTAATGTTATTTTTGTAAATGCCTCTATTTCTTGTATAAATTGAGTTGTACCCATGTCTGTAGGCACATTTAATATACTAGGCCCTATAGACTGCACAGCTCAAAGAGAAGATAAAACAACACATACTAGCTGGTTTCTTTGACTTGGATGTCACCTGCTGTAGGATTCTATTTAATCAGATCATTGATTAAATTGTTCAACTGCTGTATTTACTTTATCAGATGTATACGTAATATTTGTATTTATTATTAACAGGCAATTTAACAAAGCTTTTTTTTATATAGATGAGCACCTTATTGATAACGTTTTAGATTCTAGAATTTTAATCTTCTACCAATTCCTACTGCAACCTGTAAAATATCAGTTGCAATTTACTCTTGAAATGGGATAAATAGGCTGTCAAATCATCCTAGCAGTATTACGATCCTTGGCTTTGTCTCGATCTCCAAGACTACTTGGGAGTCCAGAAAAATGTATGCTGTTCTCACCAGGGCATCTCTCCCCAAGTCTAAACAACTCTCCGTTAAACTTGGCTGTGGGGGCAGTGGTGTAATGCCAACAGTTCTCATTTCCCAAATTACTGCATCTTCATTTCTAGTCACTCCAGCTGACCTAAATTCATCCTTTGTGTTTTGCACTCTCATGTTCTTATCCTTGACAGTTTATGCTGTCCTATTCTTCCCTCCCATGTTCTTGCAGTTGTGTTTGATCTTCCACACACCAAAATACCATTTTGCCATGCCACCCTGGCTCTTGCATAAATCTAAGCATCTTATCCTGACAGCATGCAAGTAGAGGAATCAGCTTCTTCTACATGTGCCTTTGAGTTAAAAGACATCTTTGTTCTTCATCTGTTAAGTGAACAGAATAGGAGACTGCCGTTGTAACATACTGTGGATATATTTTTAAAGAAGGGATAAGCAGACAGTTGGAGTTGTATTGTAAATATGGATTTGATAAAATACGGAAAAATGCTCTGCATGGAGCAGTTAAATAGTGACAGAGGAAAGTGTTGTTATAACAGAGCATGTTAGGTTTTCTCTAATTCAAAAAAATATTACTGTTAATCTGTCTATGATGACTGTTTGAAGATCTGTTCTCTCAGTCTCTGCTTTGCTCACATTTTGTCTCCTATTTATATCACAGATTCTCTTTGTCCTGGTAGACGTTAACTTGAAAAGCAATGAACAAGTGATGGCATACTTCAAACTGAAGAAGTCCCAGCTGCCAGCTCTGGCTATATTCCACACACCAGATGAGAAACATGATGTGTTGCCTCTGGATGAAGTTTCCATTGAACGTGTGAAGGACTTCTGTAATGCTTTCTTACAAAAAATGCAAAAGGTAAGAGAGCATTTCTGAGTAGGCTATAGGATGCTAGGGTCTCATAGAAAGATGCTGTTTCTCACAAGGCTCTTAAGGAAATAACTTCAGCTCCTTAACACATTCCCTATCTGCTACCTCCTCCTCATTTTCATTTTCACCTGAATATCAGAAAAAACATTAGATCTTGAACAGAGCAGATATGGATGTGTTTCCAGAACCTCTTTGTTCACTGACCTCTGTCGTCTCAGTCTACAGCAAGAAGAATTCATTGACTTTTGTATGAAGGTCTCAAAGGAAGCATCTATTTTCTGGGAGCAGCAGCTGGGAGGTTAGATGGAGGACGCTTTTGGACACTGAGTATGGTCATGGTGGTTGTCAGCAGTCAGGAGAGGATCAGAGAGACACTGATCAATGGCAGGGATGAAAAGAAGGCCACAGAGATGAGGTGTACAGGCAAGGACTCTGCTGGAGGTCTCTGGAAGGAGAGGGACAGTTTAATCTCCATGTTCATTCAGTGCTAGTGTTCTCTCTTTGTCAAACCTCAACTTCCTGTAACACAGAAGCTTTGTGCATCAGAAGCCTGTGTTGTACAATTGAAATAGAATAGGCAGGGCAGTGCCATGGAGAACAGAGAGAGACGTTTAAATCTGCTTGTTTCCTTTTATCACTGTGCTGAGAAACTGAGTGATGTCAAAGTTGATTTCATGCCTTTACTGTGTTTTAGGACGAAGACAAGCCAGAGGAGAAGGCCTTCAATGAGGAACTCTAACTCTTTCTCAACAAACATGATGACTGTGCCCAGAGCCATCTGCTCTTGGTGTATAAAGAGTTCACTTAGCTTCACAGCTCAGGAATTCTTGGTATAATAGGATTAAGGGACCAAGTCAGTCACGGATTCCCATCTCCATGCCATGCACATATTTGCTGCCTGTCCTCTCTAGGAATCACTTCTCTCTTCTGATTTGCTGGCTCCAGCTCTCTTTCTTATTTTTCCAGGTGCTCTGGTATTGCTGTACACAGTGTGCTTCCACATAACCTCTGATGAAGCAACGGGCAATATAACAAAATCGCAACATCAGAGATATACCTTGTAGCTCCCAGAAAGACTGACAGATCTGTTTCTCTCATAATGCCTCCCATGTTCTCTTTGCTTTTGGTGCCATGCTGGGATCCAGCAGGTTCAGTCAACCTATTGTGACACTAGGAACAGCTTGGTTGTTTAATGTCACATATGGTACTAAATAAAGCAGAAAGTGAATATCCTGAATTTTTATGGAAGCATGTGATTTCCCACTCCCCATGTTTGTCATTAAAGACAAAGCCTGTGCGTTGCTGAATGAACAGGCTTGCAACATCTAAGCAGACAGATTAGTTGCTAAGAGTCATTTCCCATGGAACTAGACACGTGACCCACAAGTCCACGAGGATAAGACATTTCTGTGAGGGTCTGGGATCAGAACAGCGCTTTTTACAGCACATGTGAGCTGGTGCAGCAAAAATGAGTAAGCCCGAGATGCAGATTAAGGAATGGAAGCTGTGGCAGAATGGCAGTAGAAAATTGCATTGCAAGGTAGGGGCTATTTCCACAGTGCATTAGAAGGAGAGGCTGTTGTCAGTTTATTGACCTCAGATGTCTGAGGTCTCACTGCTGGCACACAGAGGATGGGGACTTTGCAGGCAAGGGGTCTGAGCCATCTCTGTTCTGCTGTATTAGATGCATGCAGTGGCCTTTCCTCATAGTTGGCTCTGCATCCTTTGGCATGGAGTATGGATGCTCCTGTCAAACAGTGACTGCATTGTCTCTTGGGGCTTGAGAGACTTGGCTTGAGACAGGGAGACTAAGAGGCGTAAAGCTGAGAAACCTCAACATTTTTCAGAGATCAGCCAAAGGCAAAAAACTAGCAATAGAAAGGAGTTGTACTTGTGAATGAAGCAAACACAGATGCCCACTTCAGAGGGATAGGTAAAGAGCTGAAGGGGATGCAAAGAAACTGCTAACTACCACAGTGAAGGGCACAGCAAGAAGGATCTGTGTACAACAGAGAGGCAGGTGTTAACCCAGTGTTAGTTCTTGCCTCCTCCATGTGAATCTGGCTGATGTCTCTTATCAGCCTGAGGCTCTGTCACTTACGCAGCCAGATTTACCTGCTGTTGTCCTCTGACCTCCCTTCTTCTCCACTTACATAAAGCAAGACTGTTGCTGTAAAAGTCATTTAGGGAATCAGTATTGATGCCCATTTCCAGGGGAAAGTGAGATGACCAAAACAATATTCTGGACTGTGCCTTGTGTTGGCAAAGCTGACGAAATGTCTCCTTGCACAGTGAGCTCTCTCTTCAGAGGCAGGGAGGTGAGCAACATGGGGTGTCAGAACTCTGTAGTTGCAGAATCAACACAGAATCACAGAGTCATTAAGATTGGAAAGACTTCTAGGATAATCTCCAGTAACCAGCCCATCCCCACCATGCTCACTAACCATGTCCCTCAGTGCCACATTCACATGGTTCTTGAACACTGTCAGTGATGGTGACTCTACCACCTCCCTGGGCAGCCTGTGCCACTGCTGCACCACTCTTTTGGAGAAGAAAAGTTCTTCCCTTGTCAGTTCCCTTGTTCAGTTCTTTTCTTGTCAAAGTTGAGTGCTCCCTAACCTCTGGTTGGCATATAGCTTATGGAAACTGTTGGTATCTGGATGCAGACAGATAATTACAATGAAGGCGTCAGTGAAGAGGAGAGGTGAGTTTGGGGCATTATGTGCTGTACATTTCTTCAGGCTGGTAAAAGTGGAGGCACCTGCCCTCAGCCCTTAAAGATCTTCCACAGAGACGTGTTGAGGAGCCTTGACATTGTGGATGTTCCCAGTGTCACGCACCTATGTGGTACAAACCAAACAGTGTGTGGGTAACCAGCCTGCTGCACGGGTGTCTGAGGTTTATGTCTTGGCCCTGTATGGACATGACAACTGCAGAACCTGGGCACAGCAACGTGACTTTTCCTCAGGGCCAGAGGGAAACAAACAGGATGTGAATGGAGCCGTGGTTCTGCAAACAAGCCCTGGAGCAAAAGCAACATCCCCAGTGACCCTGTTCACTCTGTACACAGATAATTATAGGAACAGCTTTTTGGGATTTTCTCTGTGTACACGGTGAGCAGGGAGGTTCATTCCTTCTGCACCTTCCTGAGCTCAGCACAAAACCAATAATCGTGGGATCCACAACAACTGCAGGAAAAGCCTGTATTTACTAGGAGGTCTTGCAAAGTGGTGGTAATGGAGCCAGGGATCTTGGTCTGCCTTATTCCTCATGCTCTGAAGCTTCTACAGCGCAGCTTTAGTGGTGGGTTTAGTCACTGCAATGGTGCATCTGAGGAAATAAACAGAGGCAGAATCTCATGGAGGGACAATCTCTGTTTGTTGTTTTATTTTGGGTTTGGGCCCCAGCTGTATTATCTCTGACTTGAGTTTGTGACGTATGTAGGCCAGATGTTTGGAGCTGCTTGAGGATTCAAGGCCAGCTTTCAGGAGGAGGAAGAGCTAGATGCAAATCGACATAGGGCAGGACACTGTGTGAAAGCCCCTGCTTTGCAGCAATGCCTGAACCCAAAGAATCTGTGAAATATTTAAGCTAGCAGCTGAGTCTGCCCAGCAGCAAATCTGGGCTTTGTCAGCATTTGAGAGTGCCGTCTTTACCCCAGGGAATGGGGATTGGGTTGCACCATGACGCAACTTCACATTCATCCTTTCTGAGAAAGGATTTGGGCCTCCAGGAGCAGAACATTGAAAATGCCTGGAGGTTCAGTGGGGGGACTGACATTTTTGTGTTTTCTCCACCCGAACTCTTTAGTATGAAATAAATGAATGTCTCTTAGAGTTGAAGACAGGGTCCCATGAGCAATACCCACATAGCCTCCTTGGGGATAAGCCAAGTCCTCATGGTACTGCTCAGCTATCTCAGACACTTACTACAGCCCTCTCCTCAATGTGTCCTGATCTTTGGTGGGATATTTCCCCACTCACTGTAAAGCTTTCATCAGCTTGAGCAAGGATGGTAAAAGGGGAAATTCAGTATCGTATGGGGGTATTAGTCAACAGCTGGCTGTTGACTGGAGAAGAGGAAGCTCAGGGAAACCTTATCGCTCTCTACAATGACCTGAACACAGGTTTTAGCAAGGTGGGGTTCAGCCTCTTCTCTCAGGTGTAGCAATAGGACAAAAGTGGTTGACCTCAAGTTGCACCAGAGGAGGTTCAGGTTGGATATAAGGAAGAATTTCTCCTCAGAAAGAGCAGTGCAGCAGCAGCACAGGCTGCCCAGGGAGGTGGTGCAGTCACCATCCCTGGAGGTGTTCCAGAACCGTGTGGATGTGGCACTGAGGGACATGGTTAGGGGGCATGGTGGGGATGGCCTGATGGTTGGGATAAGTGATCTTAGAGATCTTTTCCAACCTTAATAATTCTGTGATTCTACGATATGCGCAGTTTCAGTTGTTAGAGTCACTGTCTCTGTTCACTCCTGTCTTTGAGCACAGAATTTGTTTCCTCCCTTTTTTTTGTAGCACAGGCCCAAACCAAAGTCTAAATATTGCTGAATGCAGGGGAATTAAATCTCTGTAGGTTTAATTCCAATCCAGGTAGAACCTAGAAGTTCAATCCAAACATGTCTGCACCTAAAGCATGTTGTAGAGTGCTGTGTCTGGTCACAAGTGGCTTTTGAGCTGCTGGGATTCTAGTCAGCAGGAGAAGGGCCAGAATAACCTGAAGGAGAGGAGATGACTCTGCCTTCTGTGCATGGGGTGGCCTGGAGATTGGAGGAGGAAGAGTGAAGATTTCAGTTACGGTAAGTACTGTTATCCTCTTTATAATAAAAGGAGGAAGGGCATAGCAGGCTGACACCTCTGCTTGTCCAAAAGAAATCTGGACCAACAAATCCAGGTAGTGACACCAGAAGAAAACCCTCCCTGGCAAGTGGACAGACCACAGGGCTTAATCACTCCGCACCTCTACACAGGACACTTCCCCTCAGCACCACTAACAGCAGCCCAT